TCCCGGAAAGTATGATTGGTTTCTATGATTGGTTTCCTTTTGGTCTCTCCCCAGTACCAAGAACAAGGGTCCAAATGGGTGTCTTGATTTGAGAGTACCCCTGTTTTGTGGTTTTAAAGGGACACCAAAAGGACCATTGAAACTATTCTTGGAAGAGTCCAACTTTACAATACGCCCCCCCCTCCCCCCATATCCATTTCCAGAAATTGACCTTCATTTCTTTCGCCGAGCGGCTGGGGCCAAAAAAGCAGCGACAGCAGGAAGGCAAAAGCTCCGAAGAGCTGCGCCCAACAGCTCACCAAGTAAGTCCTGCCCCAAAATTCGAGTGCCCCGATGGTTTTGCTTCCCGTGGCCTGTCTTTGTTCTTCTCGTGCTTTTTGTTTGATCAGGTACAGGTGGAAACGAAGGTGCCCCCTGTCGGTTCCAGGTTAATTGCTGGGATGGGCTTGCAAAAAAACATGAACAGAACCAAGAAAAACTAAGAAACTAAAGCCTTGCCAATATGGTTTCCTGTTGGTTTCCTTTGAATTCCACAACAGGCATTCATTTTGAGAACAACAAATGTTGCCTTGTCTTTCTGCGACGGCTTGAGAGTGTATTCCAACTCTTGAATTCGACATTTGGGGAGGGTTGATTAGAGCACACCGCTCTCTCCTGGAAGCTGGCAAGGTATAAAACGACAACACGAAGCCCAGCAACGCGGCGAGAGTTGCCACGATGCCGGCGGCGTTGCCGTTTTTCAAGATCAGCAAGGTCAATATCCTGAGTTGCTACACGGGCCCCTTGAAATGGTTGCTTGAGTTCTCAAACTTACCTGTGCGGCGAAATGCCCAAAATGCCTAGGATGCGAGCCCGGACCAGTCGGACCATGGAATCCTGGCATGGGTGATGTGTACTTATCTAGCTCCTTCTTTGAAGGCGCAAATTTGGATACCCCTAACGGTTCCCTTCCAACCACTACCTGGTTATTCCCACCATTGGAATGGCAAGGTGCTTGCTTCAAAGCTCAAGCCTACGGCTTGGATGTGGCCTGAGTGGATCCACACCAAAGCAGTCGCTTTGGACACATTTACTAAAGCGTCGAAAGCACTTGAAGGCCAACAAATCTGTTTAGAACCTTCTAGAACAGCTTCGCGGGAATTCTCGGTGCTTTTTTTGGGAGCGCCAACAAATCTGTTTTAGAGCCTTCTAGAACAGCTTCGCGGGAATTATCGGTGCTTCTTTGGGATCTTGGAGACGAGCCCATGCAGATTGCCAAGGAAAGCTGAGCATCTTTCGGGCCGAGTGGAGCTGCCAGGAGTGAGACCAGAACTCGTCGATGTGAGACGTCATGAAGCTGAGCTTGTACAAGTCCTGCGCCAAAAAAACTTCGCTTCGAGCAATCCCCACCCTCCGCACTCACGAGCTTGCGACCGTGAACACGGTTGTGTGAATTCGAGCATGGTTTTCGAGCGGCTTGGGGCCTATGACTTCTCAACAAGGTTTGCATTGAGAGCCACCTGTCTGTGTGTCAGACTCCACTTGTCTGCGGGCCGATCTCGAGAACTCAAGCCCTTCCAAAAAGAAACCCGACGGGGGATTAAACGAAGTTGCTTATTCACAGCCCAAAGCACCGAGCCTCAGGGCACTCAAACACGAAGGCGCCAACATGAAATGTAAACCCAACTGTGCGCCGAGCGATTAAGCAAAACCAGACTGGCGAGCTGCTCTGGCGGGATACTCGGCGGGATCCACTGGTGGGCTGCTCTGGTGGGATACGCAGCGGGGGCGGGATACTCGGCGGGATCCACTGGCGAGCTAATGGGATACTCAGCGGATTCTGGCGGGTGTGGCGGGATCCACTGGCGAGCTATTACTCTGGCGGGATACTCGGCAGGATCCACTGACGAGCTACTCTGGGATGCTCAGCGGGATGCTCGGTGAGCCGCTCTCGGGATACTGGGCGGGATCCACTGGCAAGCAGCTCGTGGGATACTGGGCAGGATCCACTGGCCAGCTGCTCTGGCGGGATACTCGGCGGAATCCACTGGCGAGGCGCTCTGGCGGGATACTCGGCGGGATCCACTGACGAGCCGCTCTGGCGGGATACTCGGCGGGAACCACTGGCGAGCCGCTCTGGCGGGATACTCGGCGGGAACCACTGGCGAGCCGCTCTGGCGGGATACTCGGCGGCATCCACTGGCGAGCTGCTGAAAACCGCAACTTTTAAGTACAAACGTAGTACGCGGAGCGTGCTCCTGCAGCTCCGGCTGGACAATCGCAACTTTTAAGTACAGACGTAGTATGCGGAGCGTGCTCCCGCAGCTCAGGCTGGAAAATCGCAACTTTTAAGTACAAACGTAGTACGCGGAGCACACCCCCGCAGCTCCGGCTGGAAAATTGCAACTTTTAAGTACAAAAACAGTACGCGAAGTACATTCCCACAGCTCCGGCAGCACTTGCGCAGAGCAACTTGCGCAGAGTCACATAAGCAGAGCAACTAGCGCAGAGCAACTTGCACAGAGCACTTGCGCAGAGCAACTTGCACAGACCAACTTGCACAGAGCACATGCGCAAAGCGCTTGCACGGAGCAACTGGCTCAGAGCAACTTGCACAGACCAACTTGCACAGAGCACATGCGCAAAGCGCTCGCGCGGAGCAACTGGCGCAGAGCACTTGCGCAAAGCAACTTGCTCAGAGCACTTGCGCAGAGCAACTTGCACAGAGCACTTGCGCGCAGCAGCCTGGAACAATGCAGCTTGCGCAGACCACTTTCGTGAGAAATCGCGCGGCGCAGTTCGAGAGGAAAGTAGGATGATGAGATAGAGCCCTCATGTGACCATGCACACTGAGCATCGCCGCGCGCAGACACGCTCGCCGCAGCGATGTAAAAAGGTGTCCGCGGCTGGATGAGCACCGGTGGAAAAATGCTTTCGGGCCAATCGTCCTCTAGATGTTTTGCAACAACTGACAACAGCTAGAGTGGCCCGATGATTTCACCACTGTCAACGTCACACCCCCAAGAGCAGCTTAAAGAAAAACCAGCCCAGCTTCTGACTTTCTCACCCGAACTCGTCAAAATCATGACCCCAGCCTAGAGGAGCCAGCCTCAAATCCCGCCAAAAGTTGGCCGCTTGTATTGAACCCCGATGTTTCTGCCCCCCCCCTACCCCTTCTTTCTGGGTCTAGGCCGACACGGGGCCCAAACCAAAGGCCCCTCCTTGAGCTTCTTGCTGCGCAGGGCCTGGCCAAAGCCCAGGCCCCGGAACGCGTAGATGGCCCTCAGCAGCTCGGGCCGCACCTCCATGCTGCCCAAGCGACTCACCTCAGCCGGAAAGGCAACCGGACTGAGCCAGCTTCCCCCCGAAAATTTGAGCGGCACACGGATGTTTTTGAGCCAGCTGCCTCCCCAAAAGTCGATTGGCACACGACTTTTGAGCTTCGGCCCTCCGACTTTTTGAGCTTCTGCCCTCAAACAGTGGATTGGTACACGACTACTTTGACTTACATTGGCCTTAACCAGCAGGAGTTGCTCGCAACTCCATGTTCAAGCATCCCAAGATTCTGGTATGCTTGCCTTTGGAAGTCGGCATGGATAGAGTAATGTCGACCCAGGATTAATAAACCCGTCCCTTTATTAGGGGGGTGTTCCCTCCAAAAGTGATGAATCCCACTAAAAGGGGACACCCCCCTATTAGTCAACCAGGGGTTTATTAATCCGGGGTTGACATTGCCTTGCTCAACCTCGGGGTCCCATCTGCTGCACTTACCCGCCTTCGCCCTCTGCCTACATCTTCGAAAGCTGCCCCCCCCACTCCCACTCCATTTCACTCGTCCAGTGCTTCAGAGCGGCTACCTCATCGCAGCTGGGCTTTCCGATGATGTTCAGGCCCAGCCCAGGAGACGCTGGGCCAACTAGCTCCACCCATGGCTGCGGCTGCATGGCCATGACTTGCTTTGAGCAAGTGGTGGCTGAAGAGGCAGTGCCACTGACAAGTCTGCCAAACACTGGCAACCACACCCAATGACATGAGTCAGTGCCTGGACAGCCTTGATGTTCCAGTGCTCCCGAACAATGTGGCCTTTTTGGAAAATAGATGGTCCTGGCATGAAAACAACCTACTCCAGTGGAACCCATCTATCTCTAACCAAAATAACCTAAAAAAGGACACCTATGCTCCCATTCCATCTCTGCCCTTCGCAGAAATTCCCACAACAAGGGTGAGCTGAACTCGCGACAGCCCGAACCGCAGCGCCAAATGGCCCTACTTCCCACCTGAACGGTACACCCAAATAAACCACGGTCTCCACTTGCTGCGGCAGAAAACAGGGCTCCCTATGTTTCCCCTAAAAACATCACCCCCCACCAAAAAACACTCGTTGTTCATCGGGCCAAAAAGGTGATGTTTAAAGCTACCAACAAGGGAACCATACTTCCATTTGCTTAAGCCTCTGGAAAATAATGACATATTTCCAGCAGTGACAGATTCCCTGAGACTAAGAGGGGAAAATAAAACATAGTCATTTAAGCAACTGCAAGCTCAAATGGAACTCATGAACCAACCCTTTTTGAGAAAACACCTTCAAATGGAAGAGGAGGGGCTTCGCCTTTGAACTCGGGAAGCGAGAAAAGGGAAAAATCGAGCTCCAGTAGAGAGGTCGAATAAGGCTGTCATCTTCTGTTTTTTCTGCCGTCTATTTTAGTAGAAAAACCCTCCCAACCAAAAAAGTGGGGTGAGAAAGGGGCACTGATTGCTGGGGGACCTAGTGGACCCATCCTTCTTTCTAGAAAACAACAAACAAAAACACGGGAAACAGCGGGTGTTCGAAAAGAACGATGGTTGACAAGAACGGAAAAGGAATCCACCCCTAGAGAAGCGAGAACAAAAAGGGATAAATCGTTCCAGCTCTTTTTGGAAAAAACCTCTCCGCTGACTCGAGCTGGAACGAACAACAAATTTTGTGTCAACCTCCCGCTGCCTCGCTGGAACGAAAAATCAATATTGTGTCGCCCAGAGGCCTTGGAGAGCCCGAAGTCCGCGATCTTCACCTCGTAGCGCTCGCCGCCCTTGGGCTCCGGCCTGGCGATCCATCCATCGCCCATCCATCGATCGATCGACCGGAAGTTGAAGGACGGAGGTGGATCGAAAGGTCCGGACCTGGGGTGACGGTTGGGAAGGCGATATGCCCCAAGATGATATGTCCGGCTAAATTGAACAAGCTACCCATGGTCATTTTTGGGAGGCAGGAATGACCAAAAGAGATTCGACTTTCACCACATGGGGAAAGTTAATCATGGCGATTTTGGGGCCGAAGGGGATACTGATTTGAGTCTATGATGCAATTCTGGTATTGAGCCAGGCTTACCGGAATGATTGGGCAAGTCTCCGGTGGCAGCTTGAGGCAAAAATCGAGCCTGTGGTAAAGCCACTGCAAGCTCTCCGAGGACAGGGCACATTCCAGCTGGAAACGCGCTTAATTGTAACACCTTTGCATTGGCAAGTTGGTTCATCTCCAGGTCAATTCGCCAGGAGCGAAAAGTTGGATTGGCCTTCGGATATAATGTGAGGACTGACCTGTTAGCTGATTGAGAACCCGAATGACAGCTCAGCAGTAATCCCAACGGAAAGGCACGCCCTGCAATATACTAAGTCTCTGGCCCGTCCGCGAAAGGTTCCGCATGCTTCTTCAAACATGTAAGCGTACAAGCATAAGACGCCTTAGGGCAATCATTTCGCGAACAAACACATCTCTTGTGCACAATCCTTCGGGGATCTTTCGCGGGCGCAAACGCCTGCAATGCGATGCTCCTCCGCATCACATGCAAGTCTTTGCAAGGACCTTTTGATCAAGTCTCAAATGGGAAATCATGTTGCCTGCTGCACTTTTGCTTGATTTCCCCCGAAAATCTTGCAACACGCACAGGGACACACAGAGACACACAGAGACACACGGAGACACGCACCCAGCTGACAAACCCCAAGGAGAAAGCTGACCTTTTTGAACACAAGCTAAGAATGCAGCACCTCGACTGGTGTTGCCCTCAAGCTCTGGCAACAGATTTCTCGTGGCAACTCGAGGCGCAAAAAAGTCCAGCGTGCAACGCCCTCCCGCAAGCTTCCGCGGCTGCAGCGTTTTGCTACTGGGGTTTCCCATTGCGTGTCTGGCTAAAACAAAAACGAACTTCCATCGCAACATCAAGCTCTGGCAATATCAAGTCGAAGGGACTCTCAAATCCTTTGAACAGAGAGCCCTCAAGCGGAAACTCAAAACCCGCCTCAGCAGTTCTACCAAATCCTGTCTGATGCGGTGAGTGCTTGATGATTTTAGGGAAATTGTGTGTTAGAGGGGCCAGGGTGATTTTAGGAATTGGAGGTGATAAAACTCTTCAAAAAGTGAGCATCTAAATACAGATACAGGTGTGTCACTTTTTAGGGTCCCTTGTTGGGCGTGGATTGAAGGAAGACCAAAAGGATACCAACCACTTTGGGGCTTTCAAATCCGAGTCTTTGAGACACACCCATAAAGGACAAATCCGCAGGTTTCCAACGACTCGACGCCTAGAGCTGGCCACCAGGATGTTTTCCGGCTTCAGATCCCGATGGATCACGCCTCCGCAGAATGCCCAAGAGGCAACCCTCCGCTTCAGGAGGCAACCCCCGCGAACGCGGAACAAGCTCAAGTTGCATTGGGCTGAGACAAACTTTCTGAAACGAAGAGCTCTCAGCAGTTTGTTGCACAAGCGTCGCACTCAAGTTGCTGGCCAAGCCAGGGGTTCGTGAGTCAATCAACAAAGGGAATTACAAGAGAGGCCATGACTGAACATGCGCCGTATGAATGTCTAAATGTCCAGGTTCCGTTTGCAGCCCAAACAGTCCCCCCAAAATGCGCATGGGGGGGGGGGACAAAAGTGGCACAGGTATGTGTTGCTACGGGCCCTGCACAAAAATGCAACTTTTCAGCTAGTGAGGGAAGCTCTGTTGAAGGCGAGCAAAACCGCCGAACGGTAGGCCAACACTTTTGACCCGCCTCGCGCGTGCATGTAGCCAACGCCTTCCAACAGCTGCATGAAGATATGGCCTCATACACCGCCAGCCCGCGGTTGCACTCATGGGGATCATTTTGCAACAGCTTGGGTTGAACGCATTGTGAATACACATGTATGTCTGCGTAAAAATATACATATTAATACACACACACGCTAAAGTGTGCTCATTCTTCGGGGAATTATAAAGTATATGTATCCTAGTGCCGCCTAGGCAAAGGGGCACTACTGGAGGACCTGGATGAGAATCGAAACTGATGGGCGGGAGAGTAGCAAAGAGAGGTTAAACACCCGAAGCCCGCTTCTCACGCTTGCCAACATGGCATGGTGTTGTTATCCCTGACACCTCCCCATGTTCAAGATAAGCCGTGGCACATGCTTTGAGAAAACCAACCTTGATGTCCAAGCAGCATTGAGTGGGAGATGCATGAACACCTCAATCTCTGTTTGAACCACAGCTTCAGACATACCCTGGCATAGGCTCCAAAACTAACCAGCCCGGAGTTGCTGAAGTACAGAAACGCATTTGGGTGGCCAAGGCTCATGGCAAGCTCTCAAGCCCGCTTTGCTCTGCGAGCAAGGTCTATTCTACTCGGGATCGAATCTTACCAGGCATTTGAGCTGCCTCCAGACTCAGAATCTGCATTCAGGTTGCTGATCCCGTGTAATGTGGCCTAGCAGCTTGCGTGGCCAAGTGCGTGGCCAAGTGTGTGATTGAATGATTGGATGTAACATGTCCCTGCCACTCTCAATGCACCGCTCGAGCTGCCTTGTAACTTGGATCTGCATGCAAACCTACCAAATTCCGAGATTTTTTGCGCCCGTCTGAAGTGGCCTGCAATCCGCCAGCCTCTTAAAAGTTGCATGGAAGACTTGTTTTGGAGCCTTCCCTCACCCTCCTTCTTCCCTGTCTTCATTTGGCGTGTTCCTGCAGCCCCTCCTTTGGCGATTCACCGCCTTCACTTCGCCGGGCGGCGGGCTTCCATCTCGCTGAGGGACTTGTTGCGCACGATGACGTCGAAGAGCTCGCCGCCGCCCACCAACTCCATGACCAAGAAATACCAATTCTCAGTCCTTGAATCGGAGAATCGGAATCCAAAGGCTGCCAGTGTCCGAAAAGCGGGTTTCGCCAAGTGGCAGCTGAAGCAAAGTTCAGCTGCAACTTGCTGGTTCACGCCTCGCCTCAATGTCTTTTACAAGTGAGTCTTCCTAGCCTCTCCTCGGGTGAAGCTGGGCCTTCGTCTGAAACTTCCCGCACGCCAGGCCGCGCATAAAAGCCCCTTGGCCAGCTCAGAACTTCAGTACTTTTCTTGGTCCGCGCCTGACGAAAGCTTCGTGCCAAGTCTCTTGTGGAAGCCTTGAAGGTTCACAATCCGCTCCTTGGTGCGGATCGACACGGCCGAAGGCGGCCGAGAACTTTGACCCATGAATAAACCCGTCCTGAGTGGGGGGGGGTGGGGGGGGGCGGGGGGTGGGGGGGTGGGGGGTGGGGCGGGGGGGTGTTCCCTCGAAATGTGGTCTGAATCCAACCACAATTTAATTACTAAAAGGAATTGGACACCCGCCAATCAAAATCAACCAGTTCTGCTTAATCCGGGGTTAAGATTATCGGACTTAAGTGAGCCCAGTGCACCTCTTGGCATGTGGCACACTTTGGAGGTCTTGTCTTAAAATTCATCGCCACTGTTGACCCCTCTGCAACAAGGGAATCTCTGTTTACAGGCTCAATGCGGAAAGCACACTTGAGTTCAACCCAAAAATGAAAGTCTAAAGATACGCAACCCACTAGCACTCAAGCACCACCTTTCGGCTTCCGCTGGTTTTTGTTCGCTACCCACAACCAATTAACATGAAACCTTGCGTTCGGGGGGGTCCTGGTTTGGACCATTCTCCTTTTAAAGGGAACCCCCGTCACCCTGAGGTTGATGGTTGGAGGCTACCATTTCTGGGCTGTCCTCAGATCCTCCGCCAAGAGTGCTTACCTTTGAGTGGGTTAAATTCGGACACCGAACCACGAAACTTATTGAGCTAAGTTGAACCGGCTGGCTCTGGGCGCCACACAGCCTTGTTTCCCTTTTCCCCCTCCCCACCCCCTCCCCACCCCCTCCTCCACCCACCCCGCCATCCCCCCGATTGGCCAAGGTGCGTGCCGCAGCTCGTGCAGGATCCCCACCTCGCAGTCCAGGCGGCTCAGCTGCTCCTGCATCTCCCCCAGAAGGCCTCGGCTCGCCGCCGAATGCCGCCCGCAATGCCGCCGGCGAAGGCTTGGAAGCCGAAGCGCCGAAGAGGGGAGCAGGTTTGGCCAGTGGTTTGGCAGAGGGTCCGCATAGAAAACCGGGTGGCCCAGATTCTTTGGCAGAGGGTCCGGAAGAAAACCGCTGTTTTTTGGGTTTGGTGGGGAGTTTGGAGCATCGCCAGAAATGGGAAAATCAAGAGGGTTAACAACCGGGTTGAAGCCAATTCCTGGTGCCGAGTAGGGAATGACTTGACGAGTTTCCGGGTTTAACCCCGCTATGTTTGGGCTCATCCCAACTTGACTGGGCTACCATACGATGCACAAAATCCTACAAAATCCTACAAAATCCTACAAAATCCTACAAAATCCTACAAAATCCTACATACCTCTACGCCGTGCTGATGTTGCACTAGTAGGAAGCAACACGGAATGCAAACAAAGTAAGGCAAGGCTGCATTGATGGGATGATCATAAATAAATGGCTATCAAAATCGGCAAAAGGTGATTTCACAAACCTGGACTGCCCTCAGATCCCCTGCTACAAGATTAACTTTTGGTAACGGAAACTACCACCAAACCCTGAACACCTAAAAAGCTCAGGGGATGGCTGGGAGCCACTATTTGAGTGACCATCCAAACCCGGTATTTCAATGGTTGACCCAGAACCATGTAAAGAATTAAGAAGGCGGATATCCGCAGCTATTTATGGCAAGGGGATTGTCCCTTACTAACCTTCATCTACCCGAATCGGTTTTGATTGTGGCTCAGTGGAGCGCTGGGTTCGCTCAATTTGCTCAAAGCTGCACAGCCGCCGCAAATCCACGGCCTTCACGGCCAACTCCTCCCCCGTGTTCAGCCGCCTCCGGAAATGTCTTCGCTCGCGGTGCTGCCGAGGGATGTTTCCACCGATTTGTGCCTTCCCTGTCCTTGGGACCATATCCTGGGGGTTGGAGATCGGAAAATCACACCTGTCCACCCTCAGTTTTGTCTCACGCACGGAAACCCCAAACCTGAAAGGAAAGCCTGGGCTGTGCATGTATTTCGCTGGCTACTTCTGGCAAACGCCTTGTGAAGCCTAAGCCGAGCTATCCGCCAAGAAACCAGAACGACTGCAATGCAGCATCGGTGGTGGCGATGGCAGCGGGGGCAACCAACAGCATTAGAACAGGAGCAGCGGAACAAGAAACAAGTGTGGAAATGGCAAAGGCAGCTAGCAAACCAACAACCAATGGCCGCAGTCGCACACGTGAAGGGTTGAAGGGACCCTGAAATAGAAGGTTAACCCTAAACAATGAGCATGGGCAAAGTGAGACAAACAAGTTACACCAAAAGTGTGCGACACAAATGAGAGTATTGCATCAACTCCTACTCATCCTATGCGCTGATTGGCTCACCTGCACAAGCACTAAGCGCGGGACCTGCATGCAAAGACTCGGGAAGCCGCCCCATTGCCGAGCTGCTTCCCAATTTCGTACCTGGGTTAAAATTTGTGTCATCCAAAGCACCAACTCCCCCGACATCCCAAAGGTTTGCCAGTAGCCAGGAATTAAACAGGAATCTTCTGTGGCACTTAACCAGGCAAATGTGCAAGACGAACCCCGGGCTTGCGCGCCAACCACCATGCGTCTAGAATCTACTCTGTTTGGGCGTGTCTGTTTAAGGGGATCCGCAAAATGGTGTTTTTCTTTTCTTTTTATTAGAGGGCTAATAACTCAAACACAACACACACACACACACACACCCTTGTCTTGACCCGACCTCGATATCTTCGCGGGGAAAAGGTCTGTAGGACAAGCACACAAAGCGCCTCAACAGGCCCGTCGCATGGGCGAGCCCAACCTGAACCCGCAAAACGGCAAATTATTTTCGTCGATCCATCTATCTATCTATCTATTTATCACAAGCAAAAAAACACGACCCACATTCCAACAGTCAGCCGGAGAAAAACCAAAAAACAAACTGAAGACCGCGCATTCCGAACATCCGGCGCGTTCGACGGTGCGCTTCTGGTCGGGCGGCTTGTCACCTTCCGGTCCAAATTGCGCTCCCGGGGCCACCTCCGCCGCGGCGACCTCGGAGGTCATGCCTCCAGCCGGCTGGGGATCGGCGAGGTGGCTTCCGGCGTGTGGCTGATCCCGGATTTGGGTGTCCCTGTCTTTGAATGTTTTTGAGGTGGTTGGCTCCGGGGCTAGGCGGATGTGGACCAAACGGCTGACTTGAGCCAAGATCTGCCGGGCTCGCGGTGCGTAGCACATCCAGATGCGCCAAGAAGGCCATTCTACCGGAGCCTCACGAGCTCCCAGAACGCGGCTCCCTGACACCTGCTTGGCTGACCGTGTCTGGCATGGTAGCAGGTGCCTGCGTTCAAGAGTCTCCCCATCAAAACATGCCAGGCCGCTGCGAGGCGCATTTTGGACAAAGTGTGATGCATCCAGCTTCAGCTTCCTTCTAACTGGTGGTTTGGCTTGGTTTGGTTCCTTCCCCGTGTGGTTTCAAAAGGAGCTGGGGTTCAAACCCCCACCACTCCAAACCAGGTCGCTGGTTGCTTTCGGCGCTTTGCACGTGCCCCTTGTGTTTTGCTCCGCCCGCCGCTTCCTGGCAAGCAGCTGCGGCCTGCAAGGGATGGGAAGGTGGCTAAGCCGTGAATGGATAATAGGCCGGCAAATATGGACATCTCCATCGCTTCCAATTCATGGCACGTGAGAATTTCAAAATGCAGTGCCAAGGCAGCTTGCATGCGGGACGAATAAAGGCCTTCGAGGATGTCAAATGGTCCGCGCGAATGTTGGCACGTAGCACTTGTCCTTACCGCATTCGCCATCCTTTGAGAATATCAAATACTTGAAAAGACCAGAAGAGGCTAGTGACGCTCTGTCAGGTTAAGCAGTGTATGTTCGATGCTGGAACGGAGCATGCTTACCAACGGAACGGAGCATGCTTACTAACGGATGGGAGTCGGGTCAACGGAACAGTCCATGGAACAGCAAACCAAAAAACACACACACACACAAAAAACAAAAACAAAAAACGGGAAACACACACACACAAACAAAGAAAAAACACCAAACAAAAAAACAACAACGCAAAAAAACAGCTGCTCGCGCGAAACAAACACCAACAGAACTAGCCATGAGGCCAGCTGCCTCTCCGCGCTGCGCGCTGCGCGCCGGCGCCTCTGCGGGCCTCAAGCTGATGGCCAAGCAAACAGGATGGATGCCTCAAGCAAGTAACCAGGAACTCTACAGACTGAACCGGGAATTGAAAGGCTGAGTGTTGAAGGGATATGAAGCATGCTTCCAGGTCAGGGTCAACCACTGAGTGCATGCTAGGTCCTCCAGATTTGAGAGGTTGGAATAAGGGCACCAACTTCTTTTCTGTAGTCTATTTTAGTAGGGGAACCCTCCCCTAAAAAGGGGTGAGAAAGGGCGCTACTGCGGGATTTTTTCAGGGATCCGGATCTTTCTAGAAAACCACCAAAAACCCTGGGAAATGGATCTGGTTTGTGAAAAGAACAGTGGAAGAAAAGAATGGGGAATCAACCCCTAGAGTAATGTCGGGTCTTGAAAAAACCGACCGCTGTTGCCGGACTGCGGTGTTCCTAATGAGTCCTGTGGCTGTTTTGAGGGTCGTGTTGATAGAAAATAGAAAGTGTCGTTGCTGGAAAACATGCGGGGATGTTGTCCAAACAACATCGGGCAAACGTAGGGTTCGTGTTTTTGAAGTAGTCCACAAACTGTCGACTTCTAATTAAATCCCTTCTACAAAAACCAAGGCCAAACAGTCGCGCAAAGGGGTACCCCATAAAAGGCCTAAGTCGCTTTAATCTGACTGTTTTGAGGGTCGCTTTGAAGGCAGATTGCCCAAGATCAAAGCCTTAGCAACTACTTTTGGGTGGTGTATCCGAGATCTGGGCATCTGAGAGTAAGCCTTGGCAATGCTAAAGTTAGAATTGTGAGTTCTAAACTTAGGATTGGCGTTGAATCCAGACCCTCAACTTTTCCACTAAAGAGGCTGACTGGGTTTCAAAGCAAACCCAACATCACTCTGATTTGGATGCCATCATGTCAACTGTGGCGGTCATCCGCCATGCACCCCCATCATGGGCCAAAGGTCGGTCTAACCTGGGTGCTAAACAAAGGTTTGGAAAAGTTAGACATCTCAATATCGGGTTGGTGTCCTTTGACATGGTGAAGATACGTGAAGATCCACAAACCTATGGGCTACCGTAGTTATCACCCAGCTTATGTATCTCAAGGTTGGCCATGCCGGTCCCATCTTGGCTTCCTCGCCCCAGGTAGGTGTCGCTGAGTAAGTTCCACAGGGCAAGGCCTAGGTTCATACCAAAATGGTCCCATTTCACCATGATCAAAGTACCCAGTGGTAGGTTCAAGGGCACCAATTCCATTTTCTGACTTTCACCCCCAATCGAACCGAAACAACTCACCCAACTGGACGATCGGAGCTCCCTTCATGGCGCTGGTTGGATCTTTGGACTTTGAACTTTTAAGAAACTCGGATTTTCCGGATGGACCCAAACTAGACTTTCGCAGAGGAAAGTCCATGGCAACCAAGTTCCCAGCTTTGCCGTAAGCCAGGGCTTCTTTTTCTGAGTGTGGGGGTTCAGGCACTTCCAAACGTGCAAGTGGGTGTTCCTCAAGGGCATGGGTTTGTAGAAACGTGGTGGTTTCTTCCTCGCAGAACCCGGCCAGCAGAAAACGGGCGGAAGGAACCAAGATCAATGTCCTCTCACCGGAGGTCAGGTGCCGGAAGCTGGATACCCCTCCCAAACCCTCCATTTGCTTTTTTGTCCCCTGGAATAAAATAATAGTAGATCTTCTGTAGTGATAGATTCCCTTTAAAACCAACAGGGGGAAGAAAAAAAAGGCTTTGCAAGGTTAACCTCACCAAATGGAAGAACCCTTAACCAAATGGAAGAAATCGAAAAAACGAAGTATCCTTAACCAGCTGGAAGAAACGGCTTCGCAAAAGTTCACCGCTCTTGGGCGCCCCAGCGTCCATCGGCGCCTCCGCTGGCCAAGATGCCCTTCTGGGCATCGAAGGCCACGCACAGCACCTGGCATCGCAGGGCGAGACGCCTGTAGGCTGGATAGTTGTCACATGATGCTGGCTTCGACATGCTCGCTTTCAGCATTTGCCAAAACGCATGCGGGACAACACCAAAACAAAACAAACAAACAAAAACAGAACGAAAGCTGAAACGCATGCGGGAAGCCCAGCTGTGACAAGACCTCCGGGGAAGAAACGCGACGCCCTCCGACCCTTTGATCTTCCCCGTGACCCGAAACCCCCGAAACCCCCGAAACCCCCCCGCGCCGAGTCATCGTGGCACGCCAGCCGCCCCAGGGAGCTGGATGTCCTGGGCCAGCTCCGAACTCTGAAATCATCGAAGCGAAGGAATTCGAAGGAAGCCAAGGAAGCCAAGGAAGCCCAAGGAAACCCAAACATACTCCAGATTCATCCAGATTTGATCCCAAACCACCCAAACATACTCCAGGTCATCCAGATTTGATGCTTTGAATGTTCTGTTTGGTTGGGATGGGATGGGGCGGGATGTCCAGCATGACTTTCTCGAGCTCCTCCAGATTTGAGAGGATAGAAGAAGTTGGCACCAACATTTTTTGGTTCAGTTCCGTCTATTTCCCAACCAAAAAAGTTGGTGAGAAAGGGCACCTAACTGGGGGACCTAGCCTACCATGTCCCTAACCAGAACTCCGATCCGTAGCTCCGCACATCTCCCCACTTAAAAGCAAAAAACATGGATTCCCCCAGCTCCGGCAGGGCTCGGCTCCCCAACCGCCCTAACCACCAGCTGGTCTCATTTAGGACATGGCTTCACCTCGATCTATCACTGCCATCGCCGCTTTCCGCTCGGAGCCGCGTGCGGGCTGCCTTCGCCGCGGGCATTTCTCTGGGTGGCCGCGCTTTGTGTCGAAGAGCTCCACCCGGCGATCCCAGCCTCGCAGAAGCAAGTTGTCTGCAGGGAATCATGTTGACCCCTGATTGATAATCTCTCTCCTCTCCATGGGGGGGGGGGGGGAGAGATTATAAGCCCCTGCTCATTTATTTGGGGGCGTTCCATGGCGTTAAGTGATGATTCTCCACTAAGCCCAGGGACGCCCCCATACTAATAAACAGGGGTGTATTGATCTGGGGTCAAGATTATGTGCAGGGATTTCCTTTGGGAGCACCCTAAACACACGCAAGAAGGCTACCCTCAAAAACTCACACATCCACATGCTCCATATCCCCTGGAGGGGCAGTATGGCTTAGCAGTCCATGTTGCTGCGAAGTTCCCAGAGGACGACAACAACCACACAAAAGGATATAAATTACTGGTTGCTCGGAATCCACCAAAAGGAGATTCCGGCAAAATGGTCGGGGTTTTTGGGTTCCATGTCAAGGTCTAGAGTGTAGAGCACCGTGGGTCTTGAACAATGCAGCTGGGGTGGGAAAGCGGTGTCAATGGCCAAGCGCCCGGCGCGCAGCAGCGACCAAGCGCAAGTCCGGCCTCCGAGCTGTGAAGCTGGCCATCTGGGGTGAATTATAATATTTCACCAGCCTGAAATATGGTGGCTGGGGGGCCATTCCCCACATCAACCACTCGGTCGTGTGACGTCGTTATAGTTCACCCAGAGCCATACAGAAAGGCTTTCAACACGTGGGACCGAGCAGTTCACACGTTTTGCGCAAGCGCAACTTGACCTGGAAGTAGAGATCTGCGTAGCGTACCAAGCACAGATTGGGTCCAGTGATGAGAAGCAGGCCAATTGCAAGCTGTTCGTTGCCAAAATTCTAGGGGTACCTTCCCCATTCTTGCCAGGGATCCTTATTTTCAGGAAACCATCAATAACCCAGAAAGAAACAGATCCGGTTTTTGATAAAAGAACAATGGTTGCAAAGAATGCAAAAAGAAACCAACCCCTACTATCGGCGTGCTGTGGCTGAAAAAAAATGGCTATATGGCTGTGGGTCAAAACCAATGGGATCCCATTCTGGTTGGTAGGTGAATTCACCAACCATTTTGGGAATCAACCCCTAGAATACGGTCTCTTGATTTTTGCTG